CCTTTCATCTGGAAATGAAATGTGGATTCACGGTCAGCTCTAACTGGCACAAGTTTAAATCTGTTCTCTTTTGATAGCTGCCTGGTGAGCCTTGTATGGGAGATGTCTGGTAGCTCTTGCTGCCAGTTTGATTCCCAGCTCTGATGTGTTGCCTCAGCCACCAGAAAGCAAGGAATGGTGGAGATAGCAGATTGCTGCAGTTCTGGGGGAAACTCCCCTTTCCACAGCAGATCCTGCCAGCAGATCTCTACAGTGCATAAGGGAATCCTGTGCTATTGCTCTACTGATTCCATCAAATCTGACACAGAATTGAAAGACTTCAGTTGGCAGGAGGATGACATCATTGCTACTGTTTCTTAATCTATATGCAAGTAAATACTTCAATAAGTCTTGATAGCTGTCCTCTAGCTAACTATGAAATCATGGTTCTGGAGGACATAGTCTCTGTAGTTAAGCAGACCCGTTCTGTCCTTGACTCCTTAAAGGAGACAGGGACAACAACTGTTTTCACTGGTGACAGCAGGACTCTATTCCCTGCCAATAGCAGCTTACTGTGACCTTGCTGTTTTGGCAAGCAAATAAACCTCATTTAGCTTCCCCTCCCCCTTGCATGCACATCTATGCAATAAAAATTAACCTTCTCTAAGGATAGATGGATATTAAGAAAGTTGTCCTGTCTTCCTCTCCTCCATCCCTTCCCGAGGAGGGTGGGAAATAAATCTGGGGAGTTCTCAGCAAGGATTCCCTGATGAAGGTGCAGCACAGTAAACTGCAGAGGTGGTGTTAGCGAAACACTCAAAGGACAAGCTAATAAATCTGTTTTTCACTACAACTAGAAATCCTGTGTTGTAAAAGCAACAGAGCCTCTTCATGCAGGGCCCAGCCACAAGCCTCTTGCCCACTGCTCTGCCCCAGGGCACTGGCCTGCAAGGTTAAGGCACTTCCATTCAGGCTGCTGGTGCACCTGTATCACAGCTCAGCACTGCAAGTGCTGATTGTTCAGAGCCTTCCTAGCATTTTCCCTTGCATCCCAAGGAGTGGTGCGTTCTCTCACAACTGACTGGAATAAGCCTGAACAGGCAGGCAAAGCTGCAGAGGCTGCCAGACCCAGGCACAGATAAACAAGACCCTACACGCATTCCTGTGTCTTATCTGAGCTAGGCAGAACAGGCACTGACTGCTGGAATTAGTTGTGAGATTCAGTCGAAGCCTGAAAATATAAGGCCTTTAGACAGGGAGAAAACCAGCTTGCAGCTCCGAGACTGCTGCCTACTGCTTTGATGAGAAAGCCTTATTTATTCCACTAGTAGGAATTGCCAGCAGGTACACTCCTGTCCCACAGCTTCACATCTGAGGCCTGAATTAGTAAGAAGCACCCCAGAGCTGTTGGTTTACAGTATGAGCCGTGCCCAGCTGTAAAACAAGAACACCTCCATAGTCACTCACACCAGCACTGCTGCAGCCTGGAGCTGTTAGCATGAATCTTCAAAATGTTCTTGGCCTTAAAATGGGAAATGCATCAGGAATAGCACTCTGGCAGGCAGAGTAGTATTATGAGAAGATTGACACATCCTTAACCAACACTAATTAAACCTCATTGATTGCATTTCTTTTTCCTCTGCTACCAGGCTGTGGTGGTGTGGCCATGGGAATGTACAATCTTGACCAGTCTATCAAGGATTTTGCCCACAGTTCCTTCCAAATGGCCCTGTCTAAAGGCTGGCCTCTCTACATGAGCACCAAGAACACCATCCTGAAGAAATATGATGGCCGCTTTAAAGACATCTTCCAAGACATCTATGACAGGTGACTGGGATAGCTGTATATGTCCTACCATGGTGCATCAGCCTAGAGCAGCAACATCCTTTCCAGCCTTGTGAGCTGTTGCAGTTAATTCAGCGTTTTCATGCATTTAACAGCACTTCAGAAGTTCTGAGCACTTCCTCTGTCCCCCTTTGTCCTGCAGGACATGGCAAGCAATACTTGAAGCTTTGCTAAACCTGGCTGTGGTGTTCAGCTCTGCTGCCAGCACCACATGTTTTGTCTGTGAACAGATTCTCCAACTCTCAAACAGACTTACAGTATCTTAGTAAAACAAGTGAGGAGAAAGAAAAGATCAAAGACAATGCAAATTTCTTTTACACCCTCTCACTTCCCTTTGCACAGGTTGTCCCTGTTTTTTTTAATCTATTTGTGATTATAACAGGATGTTCTGGTTTTTGTTTTCCAGAGAATACAAGTCCCAGTTTGAGGCCAAAAAGATCTGGTATGAGCACAGGCTCATTGATGACATGGTAGCTCAGGCCCTGAAATCTGAGGGAGGTTTTGTCTGGGCCTGCAAGAACTACGATGGAGACGTGCAATCCGACTCTGTTGCACAAGGTACAAAGGTTTCCTGGGCTACGCTGCTCGCGGCTCAGGGTTATCGGGGTGCTTGCCACACACCAGGCTCGTGGGGCAGCCCAGCAGGTGATGCTGGGTTTCAGATTATATGTTTCCAAGCTGTGGCAGCCATGAAGGGATTAAACAAGCAAATCATTTCTGATATCAGTTTAACAAGAAAATCCATTGAATGCTGACCACTTAAGTTACAGTTCCTAACAGCGTGGCATTTCTAGCAATATAAGCTAGAGTAGGCTTTTCCAGTAAAGCCATCCAGACAGCTGGGATGCAGGCACTGCAAGCCGGGGCTAAACTGAACAGGGATGAGCTCCTGCAGCTGCTATACAGACACACAAGGAAATTTTCAAGAGCTAAAGCTAGCTCTCAGGTGCAAAGAGATTAATATGCTTAACACTACAGGCGTGTCCTTAACCAAGAATGCTGTTTAACCAAGCTGCCTGATGCCAAAACATGTAAGGTTGAAAAATCCTGCAGGGCAGCATGTGGATTTGTTTAATACACCTCTTCTTGAGTAATGCCTGTAAATTGCCTCCCACAGAACAAGTAGGTATGTTGAAGTGCTACCTAAAGAAGCTTTCAAAGACAGAGCACCAAAACCTGCAGGGTTTAAAGTGACATGAATGTTCAGTTTTCCTAGCTGACAATTCCTTTCACTACAGCAGTTACTGTTTATATGGAGTAGGCGTCTTTCCCATGGCCTCTGGGAGGGATTGCAATTAGCAGCACAATGCTGCTTATTTAGGAAACTCCCTTCCCAGACTGTATCTTTTCAGTAGAAAACTGACAAAAAGTAGGTAGGAATATCATGTTTTTGAAATGAGACAAAATATTCACAGACCTTTTCCTTCTGGTTCAGAAATTGCTGTTCAGACACACTGTAGCTTGGAAGTGTCACAGCTAACCATCCAGGTGCAGCAGCAGTCCAGCTGCAAAGGGAGACTCACTCTTGCCCTGACTGGGGGAGTTTTGTGGGATGGGGGCAGGATTCAGATAGGAGCTGCTTAAAAGAAATCCTGGGCTTCCTGAACTACGTACTCTGCAGGCTACGGCTCTCTGGGGATGATGACCAGCGTGCTGATCTGTCCTGACGGCAAGACTGTTGAAGCAGAAGCTGCTCATGGCACCGTTACTCGTCACTACCGCATGCACCAGAAAGGCCAAGAAACCTCCACCAACCCCATTGGTGAGCAGCCTTTCCCTGTCCTTGAGTGGTCTCTCTCTACAGAGGAAAACAGGGTCCGAGTAAAAGTTTACGCCTCATTTCTGCAGAGCCTTGCACCACTAAGTGGTAAAACTGTTAGTTCATAATGTGTTTGTCTTCCACCTGCAGCCTGCAGCAAAACACAGGCTGGAACAGATCGAACTTGAGCAATAAGTTAGATGCAACCTGGCCTTGGAGACATGCTCTTGTTCTCCTGGAGCGATGGGCTCATAGCCACACTGAAATTAATGTTTAGGCTGGTGCATTTTATTCTGTTCCCCTCTCTAATGCTCCAAAACTCCCAGGCAACCTGCAAGCCGTTTAATTAAAGTAAATATGCTAGAACAGGACATGAGAGAGAATCCCATGCAACTGCACACACAACAAGTACAAAGTAATACTGAGAAGGGGACTGTAACCCTTGGTTGTAAGGGCAGTTTTTTTTGTTAATTAGAACCCCAATACAGACTGTACAGACTTTTTTTTTTTTTTTTTTTGACCTAGACAGAAAGAAAATGAGCTGAAGTGGCACAAAGAGGGGACTGCAGGAGGCAGGGGCAAGTGTCCAAGTTTTGCTTTTCTTTAGAGCAGCACAAAGTACAAAGCCAGCCTAGATGAAGATACCATTCCTAATCACAGCCAGACTTAACTTTTTTCAGTCTATTCTCTCAGTTTTATTCTTTTTTTTAAAAAAAAAAAAAAAAGTTCTATGCAACAGTTTAGAATTATTTTGCATTCTCTCTTAGCCTCCATCTTTGCATGGACCAGAGGACTGGCTCACAGAGCCAAGCTGGACAACAACACCAGCCTCAAGAACTTTGCCACTGCCCTGGAAGAGGTCTGCATTGAGACCATTGAATCTGGCTTCATGACGAAGGATCTTGCTGCCTGTATCAAAGGCCTACCCAAGTAAGCCCGCTAAGTAATTGCGGTCATCACTGGAGGGGCTGTGTTACTCCTCCTGGAAATCGGATTTGCTGCATATAACTCCAGTAGTGCATATAGGGGGAATTCCTGGAGTTTGGTCACAGAGCAGAGCCCTTCTGTACACAGTGCTGTGCAAACAGAACAGGAGCCGCTCCCTGCCCCGAGCAGCACAGTCTAGGTTGCTTGCCGGAATACCAAACTTGGGGGGAAATGGGGGAAAACAAAGATACACTGCAAGGAGTTCTGCTATGACAGTATGGCCAGGTTGTGTCTATTTATTAGGGTGAAGACTTACTTCACTACAAACCACTACCTGGCTATCTTTTCTCCAAACAAAACAAAATTTAGTCTGAAAAGTAGGAAATGACTCTGTGGTAGCTTCAGAGGCAAGACTTAAAGCTCTGTCTTCTGCCACCGAAGCATTCAGCGGCTTCACAGCTAATGTCTGTCTGTCTCTGTTTCTCCCCGCAGTGTCAAGCGTTCTGACTACCTGAGCACCTTTGAGTTCATGGACAAGCTTGCTGAAAACTTGAAGGGGAAGCTGGATGCCCTGCCCAAACTCTAAGGCACAGGTTGTGCCTGAGCTCCACTAACGAAGCGTCTCCAGTTTACGCTCTGGTTAAGTGGCACTGGATCACAATCTGTTGTGTAACATTTCAAATACTAGAAGAAATCAACACGTACACTTTTTTAAAAAAGATTGTTTAAAAAAAAAATCCTGTTCTCTTAAACCATTTGGGCTACTGAGCCAGGCCTTACTTTTGCCAAGCAGCTGAATGTGATAAGATTCAAGCTCATAGTGAGCCTGGATTCCTAATGCCGTTCATAGAAGTCCTGAAGTTGTTGTTCTTGACTTCTACCATCTGTGTTTCTTTTCTCCCTTTCTCTCAGACTGAAAGCCAGTTCGTGACACACCCCTGGTCAAACCAGTGGTGACCAGCTGTGTAGCAGAGTTCAGAAAGCAGAACTGTCCTCCCCTCTCCAGTACTGTCTACTGACTGTAAGGGAGCTCAGAAGACTGTGCCAGCTCTACGGTAGCTCCTCTTGCTTTCTGTATCTTTTAGTACCAACCGGAGCATACCAAGAGATTTCTGAAATCAGGACTGTAGCATTTGAGGAGAATAAGCACTTAGTAAATGCTGGAAACAAGTCTTTAGGCTCAAGAGCCTAAAAGAGACCATGCTGTAATGTTTAAATGCAGACCATGCATTTTATTATACTCCTGACTGGATGTGAAGCATAGGAACTGTTACTTCTGCCCCCTCCTACACTTCATCAAGGTGCAAAACTGCTTTCTTCAGCTGTCTGGGCTATTACCTACCCTTTGTATTGTGATACAGTAAGTCAGATATCCTGTGAAACACTATTCCATCCATTTTTTAAAGGAACATTTTAGTTCAAACTAAAATAAAAATAAACTAACATTCATTGTCTTTCTCCTCCCTTTGTGTCTCTCTTCCCTTTTTATAATTAGAAAACGGGGAAATTCTACCTCAAAAACGGAGTGCAGAACCTTTCAGCAGTCCTGTATGTACTAATTAGAATGTGCTATAAAGGGAGGAAAAAAAAATACTCTTCCCCCCTTCTCAAAGCAGAGTTTTAAGGTGTTCTGGCCCAGGGCAAGATATCAGCTGTCTGGAATAGTGCTCAAAGTTGTATTTACTATATATATTAAACTCCTCTGCAAAAGTCTCTTGAAGCCTGCACTAAGACAGCCCGCACAGGATCAAATCAAGACAGCCAAGGACCACTGTGGCATTCCCAGCTCTGCAACCAGGTGAAAGAGGACCTTGAAGAATGAGCTTAGGAACAGAGGTGCCCGAGTAAAAGTATTTAATCTCTACATGGTGCTGGTAGTTCACAAAGAAAGAGAAGCTGATCCATCACTCCCCTGAGAACAGGGGCAGATAAGGTGGGTCCAAGGCTGTGGGGAGGAAGGGTGCTTGTTAGAAGGGTGCAGCTTGGTAAAGTCCAATTGCTGAATACACATGGAAGCAATGGAAGCATCTATCAAGAACACCTTGAATTTTCTCTTCCTGGCTTCTGATACCAATTGATTGAACTACCACATCAAAAGCAGGCATGTCATAATACAGCAGCACCTCTAGCTAATCCCTCTGCTTTTTATTAGATCCTCCTCATGCTTTGAGGTTAAAGAGTATGAGAAATTTTAGCATTTTCCACGAAAATGAGCTATAGAAACAAAAGTAAAACTCTTCCTTTCTCTTTTAGCTCGACAGCTCAGCTTAAGTGTAAGCAATGAAGTAGTATTTTTACCTTGAGTCTGCAGATGACAGTACTTCCTCTCTGTACTCCCGCCAAGTTCCCATCTTCTGAAGGTATAGAAGAGAACACAAGGTCCTCAGGGGATTCATCCACATGGGTTCTCGGGTACTGCTGTAGAGCTGAGAGGGAAAAAGAGAAGTTTTATCTGTCCAGGGAAAGAAAGTCAAGTGTGGTCAGGTACAGAGCCTTCTTCCCTATTTTGCCACAGGAAAAGGGAGAGGGGGCATTTTTCCTGCTTTCATGGAGGCACATTCCCTTATCCTTTAACACAGTTCAAAGTGTGCACTTCTGTCCTGAGTGGTCCTCACAGATGGACTCGGTCTTTATCTCTATGATTATGCAAATTCTCACTGGCAGCAAATACAGTGAAAGAAGATCAGTAATGCAACACAGGTCTCAAAGCTCAGCAGAGAGCTTGGACCTCCAGAGCTGTCCAAAGCTTCAGCATTCTGCCATGGACACAACTGTCTAGAGACAGCTGGACAGTGACAGCCCTCCAGGCTGATGCATGCTCCATGGGAGACTAACTGCCAGTGGTGCCACACTGTTGGCAGTGCAGAGTGCAAAGTTGTGCAGAGCCTTTGCAAACAAGCACTGCAGCATTTAAAGACAGGAGAAAAACAAAGGTCACACAGCTTTTATACTGTTCACATAAAACTTTATTTATAAAGCACAAATTTAATACATGAGAGATTCTTGAAAGCATACACAAACTACGAGCTTGCCGGTTCAAGCACTATATCACTTCTGGCTCCTTGTTTCCCTCCACAGTCAGTAGCTTGTCTGTCTTGGCACTGGGACATGATTCAGGAAGCCATTCTTCTTCCACTTTGATCTTCAAGGTCTTCGGTTTGGTCACTTTTTTCTTTTTTTTGGTTTTGTAGACAGGAGAGTGAAGAAAGTCTGTGGTTGTAAATGGGTCGCCCCGCCTCAGTTTGCTGCAAAACCAAAATGGTTAGATGGCACTATCAAGGGGTTTCTTGATGATGTGTAAGATTTCAGTCTGCAAAGTTAGTTTATTTCTGCTTTTACTGAAATGCTCCACCAGAAAGTGCCTAAGAGATACAGTTTATTCCACCTGCAGTACAGGAGCAGTTCTGACTCTACAGTCTGCCTTTTGACCCATTACAACTACTTCCTGACAAAACAAACTATGACTCTTTTCAGGAAAAGAAAATATAATATTACTCAGTAGTGTAACCACCAAAGGTAACCTTTTGAGGTAAATGGTTCTATACAGTAACCATTGGAAGTATTGAATCCATAGTTTCTTTGGGAGCGGACAAAGCTACTTTTCTGGAATTCATTACTGTCAAAAAATGGCTATACAGAATCAACTCAATCATGGAAAACACTCTCCAAACTCCACTGTTTCCTTCATAGGTACCAGATTAAATGGAACTGCTCAATTGTTATATAAATATATAGAGCTCTGGATATCAGAGCTCTGGCTCTAAGTAAAAGCAGAGTTCTCCCTAATCTTTCCTTGCTTATCTTGTGTTTTATCCTCACATTAGCCCTCACTGGAGCAGCATAAAGGCAGCCTGCGCAGAGGCACATTTATTTTGGTGAGGGAAATCAAATCTTTAGTAGTATGTTAGCAGGGGTCTGCACAGGCATGTGCGGTAGCACAGAATTTTGGCTCAACTAAATTGAGGATCTAAGAAACACACAAGGTAAGAGAGGCTGAAAGACAAACATCTGCAAGGTGTCTGTACAAACACTGCACAACTTAGAGAGAAGGACAAGGGAGGACATAACGGCAGAGGGAAGAGAAGAGGGTGCAGCATGGGAAGAGGCACAAAAAGCGATAGTTTAAATACCAACCTGTTGAGTTTTGGCTCTGCATAGCAGGCAGGCTCCCGTCTCCGCTTGGGTCGACGTCCCAAAGCTTCTTCTGAGCTGGGGGAACACAGGCTCCCGACATTTGTCAAGTCCTGCAGTGGCCAAGTGTCTGCAAAAAGATGTTCATATGTGAATTGATCAGTGTTTTCAAAACATTTGCAGGCATCTTAAGACATACAGCTGCCAAATAGAGAAGGCTTGCGTTTCCAGGATTCTCTGAGCACTCTAGAGCAGGGTACCATCCCCAATCTAACACTGTCTCTAAGCTTAGGACACTGTTTTTGTTCACAAGTCCCATTCCTGTTTCTCACAAGTCAGCTCACGATTCCAATTAAGTTCTTCACTAAAAAATACACAAGGTCACAAATACTGCCAGAACCTTCAGGCTCAGGTCCAATAGCCTTCCTCTATACAAACGGCAGTTGACAGCTCTAACGCCCAAAAATTTACAGCCTAGGGGGAGAAGAGAAAAAAAAAAAAATCCCACAAACTCAAGGCATCTAGATAACCTAAGAGACCTCTAACATAATGGAGAAACCTGCACGTGTTTGATGCATCCTTCAAATAAGTCAGCCAGGAGGCGAAAGGCAGGAAAACACACACCTTTCCTCCCTGCAAAGCCATAGCTAGAGTAGGCCTGCTGAGGAACAGCTGCAAGACGGAAAACAAACCAATAAAAGCTACAAAACAACTTTCTCTTTACAGACCAAATAACAGCAAGCTTCCAGAAAGACTCAGCTTAGCTCTGGTACTAACAGCCAAGGGATACACCCTCCAAAGCCTTTGGGGCAAAGGTGTGGGAAAGAGAGGGAGACTTACTGCAATTTTGCATTAAAGATAGCAGCTGCCACCTAAAGGTACAAAATCCCAATTCTCACAGCATTAAGCACCCAGGACCAAAAGTCTGCCCTCTTCTTCATACCCTCCGCCACCACAACAGACTCTAGCAGGCATTGGTCACTGCCAGGCTGCATCACTTCATTATTACATAGACTTTTCTAAAGAAACAGACATGTCCTGCAGATAGCAAGACTGGGAAAACAAGGCCACTCAGCACATGATCTCTGCCTTTTTCCCAGTATCCATGCCTGAATGGGCAACCAGAGATTCATGCAGTAATACTGATTAACGCAGAGCCAATGCAGCCACAAAAATGACTACCCAGTAGTTAGTTCACAGCCCACTAAGTGGAAAGTCTGAGCTCAGACATCAGATACGCAGCAGCCATCTTTTAAAAATAAGAAGCATAAATGGTGTGTCAGACAATGATCTTTAGCTTTAAAAAGCAACGGGGGGCAGAGGAGAAGAAACCTAAGCATTCATTACATGCATTTTTTTTTTTTACACTCACTCCAAATTGGGTGTCCTCCCCAGTCCACACTTAACTTGGACATGTTAGGTCCACCACTTACCAGGTTTCTTCAAAGATGGACTCTGGAAATGTTCTTTAGAACATAACTCAGCCTGGTTTCTTCCTTCCAGTATTTCCTCCGCACTCCTTTCTTTAAATGTCAGAACATTCTCTGGACAAGCAGAAGATTTCTTTGGGATTTTGCAGTCCTCAGTACCTAAGGTCCTGGAGACAGGTAGATCTGTAAGACTGGAGCCAAGCAGCAAACCTACAGAACACCTTACAGTGGAGGATTCAAGACTGTCCGAAAGGTTCATAAGATTATTTGTAAGTGAGATCTCAGCTATTTGCTCCTCATGGAAGGCCTCTGGCTTGGAGAGAACATCTTTGATGTAGGAGAACTTCTCTGGCAGGACAGCTTGCCTGTACACAGGTTCTGCTGAACTTCCAGGAAGCAGTCTGGCTCCATCACTCTGTCTGGCCAGGAGATCAGTCTCTGTAGGATTACAGGTGCTCTGCAGCTTTGGTATGAGACAGAGATCTTTTTTTAGGGCATTCATGTTGTTGTGACTCTGTCCCTTTTCTTGAAGATCCCCCGTCCGTTTCTTTTTGTTCTGAGCTGTCACCAGCTTTTTACTTCTGGGAATTTTGCTAGCTTTGCTCCCAGGAATGCACTCAGAAGGTGCAACTTCTTCCCGTTCAAAATCTGTCTCGATACAATCCAAGTTTCTTGGAAGATCCAAAGGACGTATAACGTAAGTTTTTCTGCTACATTGAGGATAATCTGGCAAATCTTTTGCACTCTCCTTAGCTACTCCTTGAACACCTATACGTGGTGCAGAAACCTCCATTTCATTTCTCTGATCGTTACCATTGCTTTCCCTGACAGTCTTCCTCCTGCTTGTCTTGCTGCTTTTGGGCTGTTCCTCAGCTTTAGCCTCAGACATTTTCACACTCTTTGGCACATACTCCTCATCAGAGTCACTTCTTTGCGAAATGACTCTAGTTTTCCTGCTGGTTTTCCGTCTCGTGCCCTTTGTGCTCACACTTGATGAGTCCTGCTGCAAAGTACATATACCTGAAGTCTCTTTCTTTAAGGAAAGTGAGCATTGTAGACTGTGATCATCTGAGGGAGATTTATGAGTGGAGAAGGTATGAACTGGGCTTTTCAACAAGCTGTCCACACTTTGCATCTCCAAGACAGCTTCCTTTTCACCCTGTTGCAGTAAGTCTCCACTTTGGAGATTATGCAACTGTGCTGGATTCACAACATAGGTTCTTCTGGGACCTCGGACTTTATCAGGAAAGTTAGAATGTAGGCATGCACCATAACCTCTGTTCTTCCCTTCCAAAGCCTCCCCACAAACAACCTGCCTCATCTCAGGAACTTCAGACCCAGTAGAATTTGCCATTGCTTTCGGCTGAAGTTTATGTGCATTTTGGGTGCTGTCTTCATCCTTAGGTGCATCAGGGACATCTTTTGCATTGTTTTTAATTGAGTTGCTTTTCCTTTTTCTTGTGCTAGCCTTTTTAACATCTGTTTTAGCAGCCGTGGTTTTGCCATTACCTTTGCTTCTAACTTTTACAGGAACAAGTTCAGGAACTTGGCTACACTTGGGATCTATTTCAGTATCACACACAGTTTCTTTGGTCTGTGGCTGATCATTCAGCACTTCTTCACCCACAGCTTTTATGTCAGAATCAACAGCAGTTTGAGCAGGTGAAGCCAGGGAGCTGGGTGATTTCAGCTGTTGCTGCGTATTATTTTTGTTGGAGTTGCTACTGTCCTTTCTAATACTCCACTGGGACACTTGAGTTGATCCAATGCGTGAGAAGAAATCCTCGGCTGAAAACGGAGTGCTTGTTGCAAATAGGGTAGAACGCTTCCTCCGCTGAGTAATGTGCCCTTGTGAGAGACGATCACAGAAATCTTTCACCATCTCGTCATCCTCATGTGAAAGAGGATGACTTTCCCACGTAAGCACTGGCAAACTGCTGGGATCTTGTTGGGTGGCAAGCGAACACTCTGAAGGAAAGAGGGGGAAAAATAAAAAATAAACACATTCCTAAGACTGAGAAAGGCTGAGACAAAAAAAATCAGCTCAGTTCTACTAAAACCCACACCCTGCACATTGTCATGAACCCTAACACTAGAAAAGGAAGGACAGCAAGCCCTACCCAAAGGGTTTTTACTTGCAAGACTTTCAACTCAGCCCCCTCAAAAGCTTGATCAACATTTCCTCTTTAGCATACAGAGAAGCATTCTTTATCAGCTCCCAAACCTGAGCACATCTATGCTTCTCCACTAGCATCTTAAGAGAAGATGAAGGGCCACATCATGTCATCCCACTTTTCTACCAAAGCCATGACAGAACCAAGTAGCCACTCTCAGCTGGACAACACCCAATGCTTGCTTTTAAATTGTCTTTTGGGTGTCTCCCCTCTCATGGTGTAAGGAGTCACTATGAGCAGAGAATAAGAAAAGTATTGTCAGACATACTTTATCCTGCAAGGAGAGAGAGACACCACTAGTGCAGCACAGATCTAATCTATTCTGCCCAAACATTGCCCCTGGTTTTGTACAAAGACTGCTGAGCAGCATCAGAATAGCTCAAAAGATACAGAAGAGCATATATTTGATCGTGCCCACAAGGATGAGAAGCTGTGCATGCAAGCAGAATCTCAGGGATAGCATATTTGCATTTCTGGAAATCTTATGTAAGCTCAGTGCAACTACCCAAGAAAACTGATAAGTCATCTTGAGACACTGCAAATGTCTTTCACCCCACCGTCCCTTCCAAAAAGGGGAAAAACAAGCAAACAAAAAAAACACACAGCTCTTTCAGAATAACTTTTCTGGGTCATTTTTGAACCTTGACATAAAAAGTTACCCCAGAACAGAAGCAGGGAACACAAACCTCCAAGGACATGACATTCAACAGAAGCCTCTCTTGTTTCTATTGCTTCATGGGGCTTCTTCACATTTTCACCCAGCTCTTGTGGTAAGGTATCTCTGGAGACAACAGGCACAAACTCCTGGGTCTTATTGGGAACTGGTGGCTGGAGATCAACTGCGGATGTTTGTACTGCTGAAGAGCTACCATTTTTCCTTCCCTCATCACATTGCTTGGAAACGGGTGCTTTCAAGAGCACCACTGCAGGCCTGGTAAAAAGAGAACAGCAGCAATGAAGCATGCTCCGTAATTGTGAAGGCCCCAGAATCTAGTAGGACAGCACCTGCTTCCACCCCCCACGCTGAAATGCAATTCTGAAGGCTTTGGATGCTTGTGAAGAACCTGCACTGCCTCGCCACGACTGATTTCCCATTTTGAGACAAATACAACTCATAAGGGAAGCACACCTGCAAACACATAAGTGAGACAAAAAACAAACAAACAAAAAACCCGAAGCAACAAGAAAATCCTTTCAGCACACAGGTTGCAACTGGAACTCTCTCTCTGAGAGACCAGCTGTGTTGGTTAGTGGTCTGCTTGTGGGCAGCTCCCTCTGGGAACCAAAGGGGTTCCCTTGTGTTCAAAGGGGAGACTAGACAGAAAAGAAACATAAAACATCAACACATCCTAAAAGATCCCACTTTAACTTTTTTCCCCAAAACACAAACTTTCATCATACAAGCAGATGACTATTAATCATTTTTATGTAACAAAAAATGAAGCAGCCAACTGCAGCATCTAAGCTCTTCCATTTTCTCTTGTGTACAGAGCATGAAGATGCACTGACTCAGCCACTTCTCCCTGCAATACCAGCTGGTATCAGACACTGTACTTTTTTTTTCCTGCAAAACTACTTACTTAGACATCTTTAGATAGCCACAGCAAGAATATATACGGCATTATAAAGACACGGGCTATTTTATGAAGAAAAGGCACACTTAAAGAAAGGTGCAACTTCTAACCACACAGATACAGATATGCGTACTGACCGCATGCATTTAAGCTACGCGCACACTTAAATCACAGGAATTTTTGCCATTAGCAAACATGGGGTGCAACTTTACAGCAGCACAAATCATCACAGCACAGAGCGAGTAAGAAAAACGACAGCAGAAAGATACAGAGTGAAGAAAAATACTGAGTAGTGGCATTCCAGAAGGCATCTCACAGAAAGCAGTCAAATAAGCATACACGTAAAATACCAGACAAAGGTTAGCGTTTCAAAATCCAGAAGGAGCTTAGTAGTATCTGACATTTTCAGACCTACCTCACAAGCTGACCATCTGTGGTATCATCAGCCCAGCTATCTTCTGTTTTGTTGTTGTTCTGGTCATTGGACACAGAGGCAAAACTTGTATAGAACTGGGGAGCACAGCAATAGAAGGGTGGCTTACAAAGCTCTTGCCTCAGCACACAGACAGCTGAAGCTCCACATAAGTTTTAGTGGAGACATAGGACTCCAAGCCCCTGGGAAGCATGCCCAGTACTACCAGTTCTTGTCCAATTACAGGTCCGCCCCATCCCACTCAGGAAGCTTCAACAAAACTGCACTTGCAATGTCCTGATCAGCCTCCCCAGAGCATGTCATCCATACTGGTGAAGGGGTACAGCTGCAACAAACCTCACAGGGTTTTGTTGCCTTATGAAAGTCACTTACAGCACAAATTATGCAATAAAGCGCGGCAGTTTACATCTCCCTGGTCTTAAGCTAGTTTAGATAATTGGAAACTAGAAAATTTTCCCCCCACCATCCCTCCCTAGGGACAGGGCACATAGAAAGTATCCTACCTCTAAACAGAATTGCAAAGGCAACAATTTTTACATATGTGTATATATATGTATTATATATATATAACTATGAAATAATAAAACAGACCATACATATAATATTACATATAAAATTCACTGCCATGTCAATTCTCTCTCTATATATATATGTCAATATACCCAGTGACCCAGAGGAAGGCAGACCCAGAGGTATAACTATAGCCTTTCTTCTAAAAGAAGCTACTTGAGACACAGCTCTGGAAATCATCAATAACAAGTTAAAATGCATTCAGGCAAAGGGACAAAAACAAAGGATTGAACACTTCGGTACACAGGTAACACACAGCAAGGGACATAGACACTGCCTCCTTCCCAGTACAACAAGCGCTTGCTCTCAGACCCTACAGCTTACCTCAGAGAGCCGGGCTGTCTTAATCACTGCCATGAGTTTTTCCATTTCTTTCAGAGTGCTATTCTACAGTGAGATAATAAGGAGAGAGAAACCATAAAGATGTTAAATCAAAACATCTCTTCCAACAAGGATGCTGTTACCCAGAGCAAGATACAGCTCTACTGAGGAGAAGGGATCAAGATCTACTAGATCATGGCTTATGAGAAAGAACAGGCCAGTGCAGGGTGCCATGTTTTGGACCCAGAGGACACAGACAGCACCTGGTGCTCACCAACCCAAGGCTGCAGCTGCCTGCCCCCCCATGCCAGCTGCACCGCTGGTGCCAGCACCGTACCAGGAAGCAGAGCTTGTGGCGCAGAGCAGCGTTGTGGAAGTGGCACTGCTCCACCTCCTTCTGCAGGACCGCTCTCTCCTGGGTGAGCCGCTGCGCGTTGGCCTTCTCCGCGTTGAGGGCCAGCGCCAGCGCTTTGTTGTTGCGCTTCAGGGAGACTTTAATAGTGGACGAGTTATCTGTTAGCAAGAGAGAAGTGCCCCAGTGTGAGCATCCACAGACTCACCTGTGCTCACTTCCCCTCACCGTGCTCCTGGCCCTTCCTAGAGCAGCCTCCCGAGGCTCTTATCTCCGTGTCCCAGCGACGCCAGCAAAGCCAGCAGCACGGCGCTGCTCTTCCCCATGCTGAGGCAGTCGCGTTAGGAAAGCTTCTTTTCACAACCTGCAGCTTCAACTTTGTTTTTCTGATTTTTTTTTAAACGAAAAACGAACACCGTTCCGCGGGAC